ACGTGGCGGCAATAGTATAGTAAAATGGCCGCGAGATAGAAACGATGTCGGCTGAATGGGAAGGCGAAGAAGGGTATAGGTTAAACCGGAAGCCGTCACCGGAACAAGCGTCTACTTCGTAGGTTCACATGGTCGTCGTACGACGCGGAGGTCACGATAATTTCACCGTGTCAGTGCAGGTGCTCGCATCAGATAAAAAAGAAAAACACTGTGTAACATCGGTCGTGTACTTCCCTTTTCGTTACCTGTCTTTCACTCTTCGATTTTGACTTGATGAGTCAGTTGTCACTTGATGGTCTCAGTATAACCTCAAATTTTGTTCGAATAATATCTATTAATAAATCTAAATATAAATATTTATTGATAAATCTGTCAGTCCTTAAATTTTACTAAAATTGTATCCTTTGAAAACATCAAACTAAATACATATAAATACTACAAGCTTTGTATGAATATAAAAACTAGAAACTTTGTATGAATATCAAAACTACAAACTTTGTACAAATATCAAAACTAGAAACTTTGTACAAATATCAAACTTAGAAACTTCGTGCAAATATCAAAACTAGAAACTTTGTGTAAATATAAAAACTAGAAACTTTGTATAAATATCAAAACTACAAACTTTGTACAAATATTAAAACTAGAAACTTTGAATAAATATAAAAACTAGAAACTTTGTATGAATATCAAAACTAGAAACTTTGTATAAATATGAAAACTAGAAACTTTCTACAAATATCAAAACTAGAAACTTTCTACAAATATCAAAACTAGAAACTTTGTACAAATATCAAAACTAGAAACTTTCTACAAATATCAAAACTAGAAACTTTATATAAATATCCAAACTAAATATTTTGTACAACTATAAAAAATATAAAAGTTCTATATAATTGCAATAATATTTGCGTCCAAATTAAATTCGTAAAAATTGCTCTTAAAAAATTCTTGTTTTCTAATTAACCTCCATATATGTACAACAGACGTACGTGACTTCTGAAGATCACTAAAAATGTATCATGTCAAGATTTGTCTTAGATAACAAGGTTAATAAATTAGATAATTAGTGGCATTGTTCTTTGTCGTAGAACTTTGTTACATTTTCTTGCCGCTAACTAGAAGCATTAGGTAATAGAGAAGAAGACCTTGAACGTCGAAGAGAAGCTACACGAACAATTGGACGTCATGCTTGAAGAACGAAAGTCTTTGTTTCCATCTTGACGTAGACAATAAAGGATTTCCGATCGTACCGGGCGAACTGTCGATTTTTAACGCCTGCGTTTTCCGGTGAACGAGTGCATCACCCCGTGAGAACACACCCTTTTGAAATCAAAGATTCTGAGTGGAGATTAATGGCCTGTGAAGTTTCGTGCCTATCGGGTTACTTTTGAATTCGTTTGGTTATGTTAGGTTGAGTGTTGAGGAAGGAGGTTTTGGAATTTGAGGAATTAGGGGTGTGGGAATTTGGGGGTGCAAGGATTTAGGGATTTAGGGATGGAGAGATTTAGGGATTTGGAGATTTAAGACTATAGAAATTTGGAGATTTAGGAGTTTTAGGGAATTGTGGAATTAGGGATTTGGAGATTTGGAGATTTGGGGATTAGGGGATTTGGGGATTTGGAGATTTGAGGATTTGGGGTTCTGGGAATTAGGGGTGTTGAGGATTCGGGGTTCTGGGAACTTGGGGTTTTAGGGATTTGGGGATTTGGGGATTTGGGAATTTAAGGATTTGGGGTTTTGGGAATTTAGAGTTTTGGTGATTTGGGGATTTGAGGATTTGAGGATTTGAGGATTTGAGGATTTGAGGTTTTGGGAATTTGGGGATTTGAGGATTCGGGGTTCTGGGAATTGGGGGATTTGAGAATTTGGGCTTCTGGGAATTTGGAGATTTGAGTATTTGGGGTTCTGGGAATTTGGATATTTTTGGGATCTAGGGATTTGGGAATTCAAATATTTGGTGATTTGTGGATTTGCCAATTTGGAGATGGAGGAGTTTGGTAATTTGTGGATCTAGGAATGTAGAAATTTGGGGATTTGGAAATTCAAGAATATAAAAATTTAGAGACTTAGGGATTTGTGGAATTAGAGATTTGGAGATGTGGAAATTTGACATTTTAAAATTTGGAATTTTGAGAATTTGGGGGCTTGGAAACTTGGAAATGTAGGAACTTGAAAATTTTTTAATTTTTAAATTTTGGAATTTGAAAATATGGTATTTGAGAATTTGAGAATTTGAGAATTTGAAACTTTGAGAATTTGAAAATTTGAGAATTTGAAACTTTGAGAATTTGAAATCTATAAAAATTCAATAAGAATAAGAATTCAAAACTCGAGATTTTGGAAATCTTCAGGAATTGCAAATATAAAAATTTGAATACCTACAAACTAAAATTTTCGAAATTTCTAAAATCCACCAAGATCGTTTAATCATCTTTTTACTTCCAATACCTTTCTCTATATCGCCATTTTCCACAGAAAACCCTACCAACCTCCATACTAAAACTCCACCTCACAAAACACATCTATTAAACTTCTTTCTCATTGAATCATCATACTTGAATAAACATTTATGCAATTATTGATGCAATTTCTGCTACATTAACGTCATGTATGACAGACGGAAAAACCATGTTTATTTCGCATAAATTGTGTCTAGTTGCATGAATTGAATAAATGGGTTAACTCTGTAAATGTATTAAAAGATTCTGAGGAAGCTGTGATTCAAACGCTCGATGTTGTTGCGACAGGTGTTGAATGTCTGGTTTTGCAACCGTTTCTCGTTCAGTTCCATCCAATGTAAAGATTTCTTTCATTCATGTGCTTTTGAATGGCGGACTATTTGCTTAATGACGGGGTATTTGAGATTTTTATGATGATTTGAATTAGTCGTTCAATTTTTTACTCAAAATGACATGATGGTGTTAAAGTAACCTAAATCATTTTTAATTTACTATTTATTATTTATTATTTGCAAATTAAAGTATGAAGATGTAGTTGCTGGAATTAAACCTGAAGATGTAGATTTTCATTAGTTTTAAAATTATTAACAATTTTAATTTGGGTGAAATAATTTTTCTCTTTTAATATAATTATTTAATTACATCGAATTTAATTATATTAGATCACATTGTGTACAATGACATTGTAAGTTACTTCCAACTACATTACTTTAAATTAATTACCTAATTAATTACTTTCAGTTAATTTTTTGATTCAATTGAATTTACAACTTCATGAAATAAAAATAAAATCATGAATTTTGGACTTCATTCAACGTTTTAGTAATTACTTCAGTCATGTCTGACTATGCACATCTGTTTTCACTGCAGTGATCAACACATGCAGAAAATAAGCATTTAGGGAACGTGGATACATTGGATAATTTAAAGTACTTTTAGTAACAGAAGAATAACAGATTGAAAAGTAAACAATTGCGTTGTATGCGGTTGCAGTGAATGCACTTGCGCCTGAAGTACTGCAAAGTGCATGCACGTGCGAATTGCAATTTCAGGCGCCTTTCACTGCATGCAACTGCAGTTTCAACTTCGATTATTACAATTAAAGTTTATAAAAAAACGATAACAATGATATTCCTATTGAAAAGTTTCATTATTTTTATTGAAGAAATAGAAATTAAAATTAATTTCAATATTTTTTTTTGGAAAAGTAGTAGTTAAAATTAATTTCAATTTTTTTAGGAGAATAATCATTAAAATCAATTCCTACTTTTTTATCGAGAGAATAGGAATTAAAATTAATTTTAATTTCTTGTTGACAAAATAGCAATCAAAATTGATTTCAATTTTTATTGAAAATTCAAAATTAAAAATTTAGTTGCCAAAATTTAAATTTCATTATCAAAATTCAAATCCTAATACAAATTTATCAGATTTACATTCATACATTTATTCAATAATACATAATTAAGATATACATACCTTAACAAAAGTATACATCTATTCTAAAATACATACAGTATTATAAAATATTAATAAACAAAGGTTAAACGCTTATGAAGAAGAAGAAAGGTATAAATAAATCAAATAATTAAATCAAATCCAATACTACAATAGAACATCACAAAAAACATGAACAAAACCCAAAGCTATTTAGTGCATGAATTTAACAACAATCCGAGGTTCCCCATTTTTATCAATTATCGATTCATACGCAATTACTGTTTCCTCTCGTTATTGTTCAGCTAGGTTAGATTTTTCCCAATCGAAAAACAGTATAGCAGAGATTCATCAGCAAGGATATTCTCTATTGTGGTCGTCAGGGTACGACACGTGATCCGGGCACGATAGAATAATGAACAGAGAATGCCGATGGTGATTTACGCCCACGCATAGTACGAGTCCACACCCCGTACGTGTAAACAATGCCAAATGATCATAAATCATAGCGATGTACGGGCCGATTGTATTTTTCAGTGGCTGCTTTAATATTCCTTTGTTTTTGTTCCTACACGTCGTTCGTACGTGATGCACATTCATTTCGAAAGGGAAGTACTGACAAATCATATGCAACGTTAATTGTTCATCACATGTGCACATTAACTTCTAGAAATTAATTTAGGAGATAGTTTGCAATTTTTTTTATTAGAAAATTTTTATTTGTGGAGTGTTGTAAGAAATTTTTTAGGGTTTTATCATTTTTATTTTTTTTCCTTTGTAAATTTTTCAAGCTGTATATTTCTGTATTTGTAAATTTAAACATCTTTGTATTTCTTCATTTTTAAATTCTTTTCATTCTTTTCACTCTTTCATTTCATTCTTTCATTTTTAAATTTAAACATCTCTATGCACTTCTTCATTTTTAAATTTAAACATCTCTGTGCATTTCTTTATGTTTTAATTTAAACATCTCAGTGTATTTCTTCATTTTTAAATTTAAACATCTCTGTGCATTTCTTCATTTTTAAATTTAAACATCTCTGTATTTCTTCACTTATAAACTTCTAAATTTGAAAACTTGAAAATCAACTGGTGGTTTTTGTTATTTTAAGTGCTGGTGTCACCACATCAGACACATATGATGTGTACAGTTACATATTAAAAATGCATCTTTTCTCTCAAATACAAAACCACATACTTCATCAACCACCTTGAACTCTTCCATCCAGATAGTATTTAAAGAAAAACAAATGGTTCATTAAGAAATAAAACTTGTCTCAACAAACTTCAATAAAAACAAGATTCATTTTCAAAATTAAAAATGGCTCAAAACGAAAAACTCTCCCAATTGCAACAACTTTCTTGCCCAAAAAGTAGGTTTGCCCACAATAAGAGAGAGTAGATTTACGATGAATCAGACTTAATAGGTTCACGCTCGAAACCGATACATGTTTCGAAAGCAATCAAGAGTGTGCCGAGCACGAGGATATGTAGGTGCCAGCTGTGAGTAGTACTACGATCACGTAAACCGTGATCCAAGATGGCATCGGTAGGTCAATATCCTGTAGAATGGCGTCGGTGATCCTGCGGCAGCCTCGGGGAAACACCACGTGAAGGCGCCACCGAAAGTCTTTTTAATGGAAACTGGTTTGAACGTCGACCATGGACCGCACGCTTGCGTTTCGCTTGACCTCGGCTTCAGCGTCTTCGGAAGAACAAAGAGCCACGTCTGCTACTGGTTTCTCCCCCTGTTTCCTCGCTATTTCTTCAACGTATTTCACGTTTCAAATGTTTTGCGATAGGTCGTTGCTTCTCTATACTTTCGTTGCTGAAGCGCATCCTGACTTTCGCATCAGCTGATTTCACGATCTGATCTTTTAGAACATATGGTACTTGATAAGGTGAAGAAATATATCTGTAACTGATAATAATTTTACAATTTGCATTTTTATGTTTAGTTTGTATTTTGATATGAAGAATATTTCTTGTAAAAATATGGATTTGCAAATAAAGGACTGAAGTATATTAAACTGTTTAGTAGTTGATCATGTGTTTGATACTTTGACTGGTGTCTAAATTTTATATTTAAAAATTGACATATGTAGATTAGAAATAGACTTACATAGACATGTAATTTATACAACAAAGGTATTTCTATATTGTTACATTAAATATTCTTAATTGCTAAATATAACTTGTGTAAATATTGACTAATTGACTTTTTAAGACTAATATGATTTTCGACAACATTCACTGCTTCCTGTCGATCATTTGATCATCCTTGTCGATTTGTCGATTATTACATTTACTGAAATTGATTCTATAAAATTATCCTCCATAAAATACATAAATACACGTACTTCAACAAACACATATTGTCAAAACACTTTTGATGTTTATTTTTTAAAAAATGCTTGAAGTCTCAGCAAATTTTTCTTAAGAGAAAAGAGCACCTCGAGATATAACCATAAAACCATAAAACAAGTACATTTACTATCACTTTTATGATCCGATGTAGCAATCAAGAGTTTTTTTAACAGACTCCAAGTGTCACCAGTCACTTTACCGTTGAGAATTATCCAAGAAATTTTTCGAGAGAGAATTGAATCCGCGCGTCGAAGTATCCAAGATGGCGTCCCTTCCCGCCATAATTCGCGGCATTGAAATTACCTGGTGGTACCTTTCGAGAAGTCGCTGCAACACTGGACCAATGGAAACGTTTCCCGCGTTGACTCTTCGCCCTTGAACGATGTATTTTTCTGTTGTTTTTTTGCAAAAAAAGTTGCAGCGCATGCCACTCAAGTCACCGAGTCTCTTGTTTTGCTCGTAAACGTTTCTTGCGAGATACTTTAAAGAATTGCGCTTCGTGTAGGCGTGAGATCATTTTCTTTGCACAATACTAAGGAATCTTTGGTAATTAAGTGGTATCGGTGGGATGAACGTTAACGTGGGACTTTTGGAATTTTGGGGGTTTGAAGTGTGGAGGTTTTGGTATTTGGAGGTTTTGGTATTTGGAGGTTTTGAACTTTGGAGGTTTTGGAATTTGGAAGTTTTGAACTTTGGAGGTTTTGGTATTTGGAGGTTTTGAACTTTGGAGGTTTTAGTATTTGGAGGTTTTGGTATTTGGAAGGTTTGAAATTTGGAGGTTTTGAACTTTGGAGGTTTTGGTATTTGGAGGGTTTGAATTTTGGAGGTTTTGGTACTTGGAGGTTTTGGTATTTGGAGGATTTGAACTTTGGAGGTTTTAGTATTTGGAGATTTTGAACTTTGGAGATTTTAGTATTTGGAGGTTTTGAACTTTGGAGGAGTTAGATTGTTTGAGACTTTCGGAGTTTTAGGTTATGGAAGTTTGGGACATTACAATTTTGGAACATTGGGATTTTGGGAGATTGGAATATTGGGATATTGAAATTTTGAAATTTTAGAGTTTTGGAATATTGGGTTTTATGATATTGAAATGTCAGAGTTTGGGATTTTGAGTCATTGGAATATTGAGACATTGGTATTCTGAAATATTGGTCACATGTTATAAGCTCAGTAACACATATGTGTAAAGCTCACACTACTAATTGCATCACATCTCTATTCCACTGCAAACCAAAGCAACCTCTTATTAAACTCAGAAAATCTTTTTTGCATCCGATTTCCCTCTGGATCCCGATCATCAACATCGTAATCATAAACATGGAAGCACGCGGTACGATTCTGCTTGTATACAACACACTTTTACTCTAGTTTGTATAGTAAAACCGGTTTGCTCTCTCGTAACAGGCCACGCTAGCCTCCTTTAGCGTTGGTACACCGTTCCCCTTCAGCGTGGTCAGCTCCTTGAAGAACCGGTTCCCGTTCGATCCTCGTCAAACCTTCTCCACGTTTCTCCTCTCTCTCTTTCTCTTCCTCTTCTTCCTATTTTTCTCGAGTTCCACGGCCTCCTGCAGGCTACGAAAACAACCGCGACAACGGGTTCTCTGGATCCGGCCTGCAACGCTGTCCGCTGCTACCAAACGCATGACAGCTACATTAACCCCTTTTTCCGCCATCATTCTCCCGTTGTCCCCGTTTTCCATGGCGTTACGTGGCGTAATCGTCATCCTGGAATACTATCGCAATGAATAGACACGCGGCAATTGGATGACCCATTGGGTTTGAATGGTGGGGCAGCTGCGGGAGGGGATGCGATTTTTTTGGAGGGGGTTTCTTGATGATATAACGCTATAATTTACCGCTAGGGCCACCGGCGAACGGGCTTCATTTGTTTTGCAAAAATTCGACCTCTGATTATTCAGTAACCTCCTTTTTGGAGATTTCTTGAATTGGGATGAGTAAGTTAGAATGAGTAGTCGATAAAATAAGTTATTAACTTTGACAGTATGGAGGCACACTTGTGAACCATTTTGCAAATATATATTTTTATGATATACGAGCACTTTTTTGCATGATGTAATATACCAGTACATACAAAGTATAAGTATAAACTTCATAAACTTGTATAAGTTCATAAACTTCATGTATGGTGCAGCACATATGACAATATATGCAGTTCACATATGACAAATACTTAGGTGCTACTTATTTCAGTACATTTGAATTTTAAGTTTCGTTAGTTTAATTATATAGCTAAGTACTGTTAAGTTTAATTAGTTTAATCATACAGCTAAGTACTGTTTATACAATATATCTCTCATCGTTGATTATGTGTAACATTTCAATTTTCTTTATTTGTACAAGTGCTTTGACTGACATGACTGCTTATGAATCATGTGGCAGAGAATTAGACATGCTTTGGTGCTGTGGTTTTACAAGTTTATCTTCATACATACAATTTCATCAACCATAATTAAAGGGTGGACATAAAAAAAACGCTGAATAACAAAAATTAAAATATTGCTTTACACTTGTGAACAGAGAATATACTCCAGTGTCAAAGATGCATAAAAATGTTTCTACAATTATTCATGATTTTTGCAATATATTAATGTCACAGAAGACTTTGTCTATAAATTGAGAAGATTTTGTCTGTAAATAAATTTTTGTCTATAAATAACATTTTATTCATAAATGATATTTTGTCCATAAATAACATTTTGTCCATCAATAACGTTTTGTCTATCAATAACATTTTATCCATAAATAACATTTTGTCTATAAATAACATTGTGTCCATAAATAATATTTTGTCCATAAATAACATTTTACCCACAAACAAAATTGCATCCACAAATAAAATTTTGCCAAAATCCTCCCAATCTTACAACCACATTTCTCTCCTCACTTTCTGTCACATTTACCCGAAAGATCAAGTCCGTATAGCACCCCGTTCGCCGTTCCAAAGACGAACCAAATGGAACCAAACAACCTAGAAGCTTCGAACACGTTCTTCCTCCTTCTCCAAAGCGAATCACCGAGCATCTCGCCACATCTTTCCCTTTCTTATCCCTCCGTGGAGCTGCTAGCTCGGTTCACCGAGGTGCTGCTCGCACGTGCGCCACTGGTTCAAGCAAAACGACGAAAAACGAGATGCAGCCGAGGAGGAGGCTAAACGCGCAGAGAAACTGGTTTCCCTCTGCACGCGATCGAGCTGAAGTACTCGCGGTGGATCAGCCTCGAAGAAGCTGAAATATCGCGGCTTTTGCCCTCCCTATTCGATAGGTAGATGCTGTTGAAACGATTTTTCAAATTTTCCTATTCATTGAGTCGATTATGAGGAGAAAAGGGAGGAAATTTCTTATTAATGATGGGAAATCTGTGACGAATTTTCATGAACTGATGCATGAAGTATGAGCAGATGTGGTCTGATTTATGGAATTATTTGTGGAATTTTTGAATAGGTAGATGGACTTGAGGAGGTTTGTATATGTAAATGTATAGACTGCTTCAAAATTGACGAATCGTATATTGTATAGCATGGTATGGATTGGTATGTTTGTATAATTAATATGGTATGTTTATATTGGTAATTGGAATGTTTGTAATAGGGTTAGTTTTGGGGTTGTCAAGTATTTTGTTGATTTATAGGATATTAGGGATGTAGGATATAGGGATGTAAGGGTGGTGTATGCAGAAATTTGGAGATTTGGAGGAGTATGTGGGGATTTGCAGATGCATATGGAGATTTGGATGTATAGAGATATGGACATGTGGAGATTTGGATGTATAGAGATAGGGACATGTGGAGATTTGGATGGATGGAGATAGGGACATGTGGAGTTTTGGATGGATAAGAATAGGGACATGTAGAGATTTGGATGTGTAGAGATATGGACATGTGAAGATTTGGATGTGTAGAGATAGGGACATGTGGAGATTTGGATGGATAGAGGTAGGGACATGTGGAGTTTTGGATGGATAAGAATAGGGACATGTAGAGATTTGGATGTGTAGAGATATGGACATGTGAAGATTTGGATGTGTAGAGATAGGGACATGTGGAGATTTGGATGGATGGAGATAGGGACATGTGGAGATTTGGATGGATAGAGACAGGAACATATGGAGTTTTGTATGGATGAAAATAGGGACATGTGGAGATTTGGATAGATAGAGATAGGGACATGTGGAGATTTGGATGTGTAGAGATAGGGACATGTGGAGATTTGGAAGTGTAGAAATATGGACATGTGGAGGTTTGGATGTGTAGATATATGGACATGTGGAGATTTGAATGGATAGAGATAGGGACATGTGGAGATTTGGATGTGTAGAGATAGGGACATGTGGAGATTTGGAAGTGTAGAAATATGGACATGTGGAGATTTGAATGGGTAGAAATAGGGACATGTGGAGATTTGAATGGATAGAGATAAGGACATGTGGAGGTTTAGATGTGTAGAGATATGGACATGTGGATATTTGGATGTATAGAGATATGGACATGTGGAGGTTTGGGTGAGACACACCAATTTAAACATGTGAAAACCTCGAAGTTCACATATCTAGCAATATATGTGCACCTGATGATTCTCTTGCACTCCGCCATTTTGTTACTCCCACTTCCAAACTCAACACTAATATCTCATCATGTGATTCTGAAACACTCTATACTTACATATTCTTCATATCTTCCTCCCCAAAAATATATTACAGTAGAACTTTGATAAATTTCGATTCACATGTTACTCTACATGTACACCACTACAAAATCTTACAGCGAACTATAAACAATATAATCACATATGAAACTTATTATAAACCTTGCAATAAACGAATCTAACAAGTACAACGAATATAATAAGTACAACCAATATAAAGATTTTTTAAAATGATTCCCCACACTACATTAACCCGAATCCACAAGAAGGAAAAGGGGGTTAGATATTTTTACTCCGCTTCTCGTTGCGAATAAATAAATGGCGAAATAATTGATGATCCCTTTTGGCGGGCAGAAAAAAGTATCGCAATATGTATCGCAGGGTTTGTTCTATTTATAGCGAATCTTATCCCCTGGAAAGATGATCATTTATCTCCTCGTAGCGTTTCTGAGTCGTGTTTCGAGGTTCTTTTGCTTCTTCTGTTCTGCTGACGGTGAACGGCGCACGTGCGGAGGTAAATAGAGATTCAGCGAGAACGTAGCTAAAAGATGCGATTAGAAAATGGTCGTTCGTGTCTCTGGTGAAAGGATACTGATCTCGAGGAGATTGTGCAATGACTCTAACGATATGAATTAACGTGAAACGATGTGACAACGAATTTAACGAAGAACCTTTTCGTATCGCTTTTAATTAGCTACTTAAATTCTCAAGTTTGCAATATTGCTTGCTGATATATTGACTGCTATGAGGAAGTCGTTAGGAAGCTTCACAGTTTTATTGACTGTGGAATAGTTGGTTTAACACAAAATTTTAATTGGTGTTAGTGTTTGTAGATTTTTAGATTTTTAGATGTTTAGATTTTTAGATGTTTAGATTTTTAGATTTTTA